CATAAGCTTGTATAAAAACGAACACATAAGATAAAATACAAGGTAATACAAGCAAATGAAATGTTATATCTTGAGATCAAGTTGAGCTATCTATTCAAGGCTTGAAGGTGTAGTTGTGAAGAAGTCTTTTGGGTCCACTCAGTTTCTTCTTCCCAAAGGTGCCTATCTTCTGGTGATGTTGGCGACCCATCATGTTGGCAGCATTGACCCATCTTATTCTATTCACAGCAGCTCGAAATAGATCAATTGCTGCTAGACCAGTTCATTTCCTAAGACTGAGCAGCCAGGATATACATCTACATCTAGAGCCTCTGGGTCTAATGCCATACAAAACCATATTTAATCTAAACATGCTACAAGGAAATAGTTTCATAACTTCGTTAATCCAGTAATTCTACTACATTTCTGTAAATAACACTTAGATAAATAGCTAAGCCATTTTTATGATTTAACATTTCTATTTGGATCATATATGAAAATATAATTTGTTGAGAATTTGTTCTTTATAAAGTGCTATGTATTTTCTGTGCTTAAAACAGATGCCATGCTTAAAATACTAAAGCTATTTTACGCCTGGGTGTAAATTATGTAGAAGTAGAGGAAGACCCAGAACAAGGTACCATGATAACATAAATGATAGACATGAGAAATATGTGGTAGTAATTTCGGAGCATAAATGTGAGAGCCGAAGAAGAATCAGATCCTGTTAGAAGATCATCTACATAGAAATTTCCAATACTTCTTCACTTCAGGCAACATTTATTTGTAGTTTCTGCGGATATAGCCAAAATGTACTGACAAGTTCTACCCCTTTCAAGGCCTATATTGTCAGAGGAAGAACAGCTGTGTGAACAGCAATTCATCTCAACATTCAAAAGAAGTTCCAATGGCAGATTCATAGTTTCTATTCCTCTTAAAGAATCTCCGAACAAATTAGGTGACTCCATTCAATCTGCTTCTAAATGGTTTAATAGCATAGAAAGAAGGTTTCAAAACAATTCCTCTCTTAAATCAGCTTATACAAATTTCATTCAAGAGTATATAGATTTAGGTCACATGTCAAAATCTCCTTTAATTTCTTCTTTAAGTATATCTTACTTTTATCCACTCCATGCAGTTCTAAAAGAAGATATCAAGATTATCGTTAAATAATCTTCAAATGGTTGGCCCTAATGTACAAACTGACTTATTTTCAATACTTCTTCGCTTCAGGCAACATTCATTTGCAGTTTTTGCGGACATAGTCAAAATGTACTGACAAGTTCTCATTGCTCCTGAACAGCCAAACCTTCAACAGATCTTGTGGCGATTAGATCAACCAGAAGATTTATATAAATATCAGCTAAATATAGTTACATATGGTACTTCAGCTGCTTCATTTCTTTCTACTAGATGTCTTCTACAACTTTCAATAGAATCTGCACAGAGTTTCCTGAAGCATCAAATATCTTCGGATTTCTATGTAGATGATCTTTTAACAGGATCTGATTCTTCTTCGGATCTCTCACCTTTATGCTCCGAAATTACTACCAATATGGAAATGCATGGTTGGCAGAGGAAGGCGATAGATAGGGATGACTGGAAAGAAATTCTTGAGGAGGCTAGGACCCACCCATGGTTGTAAAGAAAGAATGACGATAATGTAAATTATGTAGGTTTTGATCACATCAGATATTTTTTACTTACAATTAACCAAACTAAAAAGTCCATCTTCAACCTTTGTTATATCTGCAAAAGTGGTGGCTCCATCTGCATCTGCAAATAATAGTAAAGAACCTCTTGCACTTTGCATTCCCTAAAAAAAAAATTCTCTCAATAGTTATCAAGCTCAAAATTCTGTAAGGAAACAACAGGTTAACCAAATTCAAGAAAAAATAATAGAAACAAATGTTTCCATTTTTTTAAATTTTTTATAGATGTGTAATTAATTTTGAAGAAGATCCAGGAATACCTTCTTCATGATAAATATTTTGCTTTATACTACAGTACTCTGGTCCATAGTCACTTATGGTTTAACAGATTGGTAGAACCAAATTGAGAAAAAAATCCCCCAGATATCCTCAGATGATAAAGAAAGTACAATTAATTGCATACCCCTGCATGACTCTGACATACCCTGTAGCCTACTATCAGAAAAATAGTGGAAAGGAAATCTTTACTTAGAAGGGAGTTTTAGCTCCACATGGGTGAGATTCTCTCCTCTGTTGAAACAATAAAACACAGAGGATCAATCATAAAGTCATACTCAGAGGTGTACATCTCATAAGAAAAAGTATAAAGCTTGCAAAGTGGCAATATACTGACAAAGAACCACTACAAACTCAAGACTGATTTTAGAAAAAATTCTGCAAATATATATTTATATAAAGACTATTTTGGCGACAGCCAATATGTGAAAGTATTTACATTTAATTACATAATGAGCATCTTCAGTCTTTGTAGAAATATTAAAAATACATATCGATAGATAAAGTGGTTTGATTAGAACATAGTGTTATGATAAATACAACTCAAAACTGTAAACATATTTATTAGTATATATATATATATATATATATATATATATATATATATATATATATATATATATATATATATATATATATATATATATATATATATGGGACATTTTATGTAAAGAGTTCTAGTTTTAAATATCGAGTTAGTTTGAGTCCGAAAATATATTATAATTTTATGCAGAAATAAATAATAAATAAATAAATAATAAATATAAATAATAATATTATGAAATAAATTAGTAAATAAAGACTTTATAAATTTGTAAGTGTTATAAGTGTAGAACCTTTGATAATAAATAAAGACAATAAATTAGATTTAATATAAATACTACAATAGGTTATACAGCAAAACAAGGTGATGTTTAATGAAAACTTTAAAAGTACTAACCAATCTTACAGCTCCACCCTTTCCTCTATTTTGTTCAAGGTTTAACACTCTCAGCTTCTCAACTCCTAGTTTTTTTGCATATCTCTGAGCTACTTCAACAGTCTTATCTCTACTGCCATCACTTACTACTATAATTTCATATTTATAATTTGGTAAATCTTTACATCTATTTTCTAAGAACTCAACACACTCATCTAACATAAGAGGAACTGTAAAAGAAATACAAGTACATTAATGTTTGTTGTACAGACAAAGATTCAGGTTTAAGTATATCAACCTACGAATATGTATAAGTAAAAAAGTACTACTTAGATAAGAGTTACATCAGTTAAATCACTCCTATTGAGACTTGATTTGGAAGTTTAAATTTCTGGATATATCTTCATTTGAATGGTAAAAAGCACATCCAATAGTCTCATCAAATTTGTATTTTTTGGATAAATACAATCTGACTGGGACCATCTTTATTAACTTACGAATATGTAATTCTAATAGTTTATAATGATACCACAGAAGGATGTCATTACTGTAAAATGTGTTATTAATTTGAATTAGTCATTGATATCCTATTTAGATGATTTTTTTTGCTCAAAGGAACTATTTATTTTTGAGTTAAGCTCCTGTATTTTGCAGTTTTTTTTTGTGTGCAAAACTCATGTGCAAAACTTTGTGTTTTTATGTGAAAACTCATATTATGAGTTTTCACATAAAAACATTACACAAAGACTATCTGTCATCTAAGATGCAATGGAGGCTTGTCTGCTTTTATTTCTATAAAATTGGTAGGTATAGTTTTTAAATATCCAAAAATCTAATATAAGATGCAGCCATAAACTGATACCGAACACATCAGCAAATAATATAGACACATATATATGTCTGTATTCTCTGATATTAGTGCTCTGTACAATATTAATGCTGTGGTTGAGTATGCTCCCCAGTTTGTGTTAAAAAAAGGTATTAGTTCATTTATTGGGTTTCACATTATGTAACAGATGATGAAGACATTTTTTCCAGGAGAGCTTTTTGGTTTAAACATATGTCAAAGTTGTACAATTCTAACAAATCCATCAAGTATCTTTCATGAAAAATATAAGCAAGCCTAAAATATTTGTAGAATCAAACTAATTTAGAATTTCTTTCTCTATTATTCTCTTCCTTCATACATATTAGTATAAAATACCAGTCTGTTATATATAAATTAAATTTTCTTACGCCTTTCTTCCTCATTATAAGCAGGTACTATTACACTCAAGTGAATTGAAGATTTTTCATTAATTGAAGGAAATGGTACTTGTTTTCCTGTTACTCCATCAATAAAATATTTCTCATTCTTATTTCTAATTACTATTGGATAGGTACTTGATGTAGCTACCATCAAAATACAAATCTGCAATAAAACAATATTTCTTATCAATAATGTACATATAGTAAAGAACAAACTTACAAATAGAAGAATGGAGACTGCAAAAGCAGATCCTACAAATATTACAATTCCAATATCCATCCCGAGTAATTCATATGTTCATCAAATTTCAGATTATTTATTTAAAATATACAAAATTATCTTTTATTTTCTTGCATGGTTGGCAACCCAATAAGACGAGGTTACGTATGTGTTTTGTGTTTTTCCTCTTTATGACGTGACGTTCTTTTATTTTTACGTCGTTTTCTTTGAAAACTGAGCCATACTTAGAGTGTTATTCAGCAATAGGGAACAAAATATGTCTCTTCACAAACTATACACAAGGCCAATCATCTGATTGAAGTTTTATAGCATTTTCATTGTTTAAATAGTACTTTTATTAAGTGTTTTGTGTCATATTTGAATTTGCATATGATTTTGACATTAATTTGTATAGTGGTTTTGTGTTTTGTTTTTAAAACATGATTATGATCATAGACAAAACCATATTATGATAAAAAAGTCTAATAAATTAATAAAAGCTTTTAAAGTTTTTTAAAGCTTTTAAAGTCTCTTTCACTTTTGTGGATTTAAAATTTATTAGCAGCCGTACTATATAAAATATTATGCTATATGTAACAAATAACTATATGTTGTGTTTACATCTTTTTTAATTTTGTTTTATAAAATGGATTTAAGTTTTATAGATGAACTTCAAAATAAAAATATACTAAACCGATTTGAAAAACATACTGGAGTCGATACAAGTAACACATTTAGTATAAAAAGTTCTTTAATGTTATATAAGGAAGAGCTTCTAAGTGGCTATCTTTTCAGTTATATTGAAAATTTGGACAGAATTCTAAAGAATGTTTTAATACCTCAAAGAATTGTAGAATTTACAGGTCATTTTTCATGTACTACTCCGATTTGGTAAGTTTAATGTTGTGTGCAATTATTTAAAAAATATAGATATGTATTTCAACTACAAAAATGTAATCTGTAGATTATTAAATATGTGTTAGCATAATATAATCTATAGATTTAGTGTGATTTACGAGATTTATTACACACCTCTATGCTTGTTAGTTCTTGATGAATTTTGAGGTTACTATTACAGTAGCTTTTTTGGCCACATTTCCTTTAACAAGCTTAGGATCTTGTATGATTTTAATTGATTAGGATCACATACTTCTAAGTACTTGCTATATGTAAAAAATTTGAGACTAAGGTTATAGAGGTTATATTCTGTTATTAATAAACAAGTGGAATAAATTTAGTTATATCATGTCATAAAGACAGCTAATTTATGTCTTGTTGGAAATTCCTGTTTTAAACCACAAGTACTTTTATGGGATGCCATAACCCTACAGTTGTTTAAGTTTTGTTCTTTAATAATTATTCTTTGTTAACATTTGTCCAACTATATATTTTTCTTATTATTTTAGTTTGCAATTATGTTTATCCATACAGTTACCAAAAAAACAAGGAGGATTTGAAAGCGAGGCTTTCTATATAAGTACAAATGGAAATTTCTCCATAGAGAAGTTAAGAGGTGTGCATGTTTTTTTATTTCACATATTATTTACCAATGTTTTTGTCTGCATGTAAAACATTCTTAGAATATGTAATTAATAAGAAAACTAATTGGCCAGACATCCAAAGAAGAATGGATCAAAAGTAAATTTTTGAAACAATATAATTGTTATTTCAGTGATATATGGATATAACCACAATTTTATTATAAACAAGATTTTTCTGTCCATGCATCTCAAAAAGTAACTCAGGTAGATATGGCAAATATGTTACTCAAATGAAAACTCAAAAAACAGAAAATTCAGTTTGATCAATGATATTTTTCTAGTTCTCATCTTCTGTATATGTTCTTCTGAACTAACATGCGTATCATCACTTACATTCAGTGGATTCCTGGATATAAAAGCTAATGTTAATGCTGACAGATTCCACCATTTCATTAAGGTGGCTAAAATGGGACATGATCATAACACCACTGGTGTGTCATCCATACAGAAACTAGCTCACATGTTGTAACTAAACTAGGCCTGGAAGGGTAGTGAGGATGCCCAGAAGTTGGATATAACTTTTGGTAGTTGACCCAAGGGGATATTTAGTTTTGGAACAAATATAGAAATGAAGAATTCTAGGTTCAAGTATGTTCACTGTGAAAACAGGCATTCACATGTTTTAAAGGACATAGCAGCAAGCTTTGGGACATTGGTTGATAAATTTAGCATGGGGATATATTGAATTCAAAAAGAAGAATTGAGAATTCTTATCCAACTTTTCTTACTAGTAGATATCTTTTTTCTGCTGCAAGGTCCTTACTTGACCCAACTTATACCAATGTGGGAGATTTGCATAATAACATACTTGACAACAATGAACTCCACCTTGATGAGGTATCCACATCTGAGTCTTCTCCTAGATATATCTCATTACCTTATTTTCCACAGGTTACAGAGAAACTTACTAAATTGTTTAAACCCCTATCTACTAATTCAAAAATCGTAAAATCGGCTTCAAAAATTGTAAAACAGTTGAAATCTCTTTTCATGTACCAAAACACCTTTAGATATTTGGGAGAAATCAAATGTAGTATATAACATTCCATGCAAAGACTGTCATTTGAAGTATATTGGCCAAACGAAAAGAACCCTCAAAGGCGTGTTATATCCCATAAAAGTGATATCAGATGCAACAAGAACTCTTGTGCTCTCAGTACCCACTCTATCTCTCTTAACCACCAAATCGACTTTGAGAATATTAAATCTCTAGGAACTGAGAATAATTTCTATAAGAGATCCTTCCTGGAAATGTGTCACATATTAAGAGAAAAAAACTCCATGAACAGACGTACTGACATCGATAATCTCAGCATCATTTATCACTCCTTGCTGTTGAATAATCCTTAAAATCTTTCTAGTTAAATGTTACATTTCTTAATTTAACTTAGGTACACCTAAATCCGATCAAAACATGGCCTAAATTTTTCGGTTTTTGTCCTCTAGGAAAAAAAGTAGCTACCATTGATTCTACCTTGATACTTCTAAATTAAATCCCTATATTCATTTCAACGAGAACTTCAGCAATTTTCATACATCACATTCGATGTAAAATCTTTTCCAAAAGGAACATCATGGTGAGTTAAGCAAATTCATATCACATTATATTTCTTTAATATTCACTAATTCTAGGTTCCCCAACAATAGTCATCGGTACCTTCTATTTCCAACCTTCTTTTTAATTAGATTTATAAATAAATTGACTTTTCTATTCTGTCCTGCATAAACGAGTATTTTTGTCATCTAGTTGATTTTTCGTACAAAGACTGATTTCCAAAGCCATATTATTTTTTGTTTTTCTCTTCGGGGTAGTAGATCCCTTTCTGTCAAAAATAGTTGCTTTTTTTAATTACTTTGGTGTCTCTAACAATAAAGTTACCTTTCCATGCTTTTTTCAAAAATTTTTTTTTTCAAATTGTTCACTAAGCTCTAATTAAAACAAGTTACTTTTTCTCCTGGCTTCATGTTTTGATATATTGTACATCAGTGATAGAATAGAAGTATTGTATTATATTATACTGTTCTTGTTAACATATTGTGACATTTTTGTGACTTTTTAATTCGACAATCCTCTGTGGATCTTGGCCTGCTCTAAGATTCGTCGCCATTCTGTTCGGTTTTTGGCAACATGTTGCCATCTTCTGATTTTTAATATTCGTAAGTCGGTTTCTACTCCATCTAACCACCTAATTCGCGGTCGGCCTTTGCTTCTTTTTCCTACAGGTGTTCCTGTGGTTAGCTTTTTAGCAATGGTATTTTCTGGCATTCGTATTATGTGTCCAGCCCATCTAAGTCGCTGTGTTTTAATGAACGTTATGACATCTGGCTCATCAAAGAGCTGATACAATTCAAAATTATATCTTCTGCGCCACTGCCCTTGGTCGTTTACAGCTCCAAATATTTTGCGGAGTATTTTACGCTCAAATATTCCCAAAAGTCTTTCATCTTTCTGCGTTAGAGTCCATGTTTCTGCTCCATATGTGAGGACCGGCCTCAGCAATGTTTTGTATATAATAATTTTAGTTCTTCTTTGAATGTTTCTTGAGTGGAAATGCTTTTGGAGTCCATAGTATGCCCTATTTGTAAGATTTATTCGTCTTTTGATTTCTTCGCTTGTTTTATTGGTAGCAGTCAATAGCGACCCAAGGTATGTGAAGTTGTCAACACGTCCAAAGGTATGACTTCCAAAGACTGTTTCTCGTTCCTCATTTGCTATCGGATCCTTTGTAACCAACATGTACTTGGTTTTGTCTTCGTTGATGACTAGACCGACCTGTTTCGCCGCTGTTTCCAATTCTAGGAGATATTGCTCAACATCTCGCTTGCTACGCCCTACTATGTCAATGTCATCAGCATATGCTAAGACTTGTATCGATCTATTGTAAATAGTACCGCCATCCCTAATTCGTGTATCTCGGACTGCCTTTTCTAAGGCAATATTAAATAGGAGGCAAGCCAGAGCATCTCCTTGTCTGAGTCCATCCTTTATCTCAAAGGATCTAGAACTCTCTCCCTGTATTCTAACAGTGGCTTCTAAGTTAGACATTGTCATTCTCGTTAGTCGGATAAGTTTCTCTGGTATACCAAACTCATGCATTGATTGGTATAGCACTGTTCTCTTGACACTGTCGTATGCGGCCTTGAAGTCGACGAATAGGTGATGGGTTTCAATATTGAATTCTAATGTTTTCTCGAGAATCTGTCTTATTGAATGAATCTGGTCAATTGTTGATTTTTCTGGAGTGAATCCAACTTGATATTTACCAACTATGCCACTGTGTAAACTTGCAACCTTTCGTAGAGAATATTTGCTAGTATTTTGTAAGCAGTTGTTAACAGGGTTATACCTCTATAGTTGTCACACTGGAGCTGGTCACCTTTTTTATGTAACGGGCATATCACGCCTTGAGACCATTCACAAGGCATGGTCTCATTATGCCAAACAAGAAGTAAAAGCTTATGCAGTGTCTGTAGTAGGGCATCGCCACCATTCTTGTAGAGCTCACTGCAAATTTGATCAACTCCTGGTGATTTATTATTTTTAAGCTTTTTAATGGCTTGGGCAACGTTTTCGATGGTAGGTGGTCTTTCGTTTGGGTTGAAAGGATTCCAATCATTTCGATTTGCTAGGGTGTTATCTGCTTCTTCGATATGATGGCCATTAAATTTTGCATCGAAAAATTCAACCCATCTGTTTAGGATTGAGGCCGTATCATTTAGGATGTTTCCTTCTACATCCTTACAGCTCCTTATTCTTGGCTTAAACTCTTTGCGCATTTTGTTTAGATTTCTGTAGAACTTTCGAGTTTCATTTTGATTTCTTAGCCATTCTGTGCTTTCCAACTGCTTTTGCTCAAATTGTCTTTTTTTTCTTCTATGTAATCGTTTTTCTTCTCTTCTTAGTGTCCGGTATTCTTCCTTTGCTCTTCTTGTGCATCCAGCTTGATTTGTCTTTAGGTATGCCCTGTTTTTGTTATCTGTTGCTTCTTGGCACTCCTTGTCAAACCATTCGTTTTCTTTAACTGGTTTGGTTTTCCCCAATATTTTTGTTGCTTTCTCAGTTATTATGTTTTTACATTTTGTCCACAGTTCCTCTACATTTTCCCCCACCTCCAGGCTCTCCATTTCCTCGTCCATTTGTCTCCTATACTCTCTCGCAACGGTTTCAATGCGCAGATTATCAACATTAATTCTGTCTTGTTTCGTGTGTTTATCTTTCTTTAGGTTTGATATTCTTCCTCTGATTTTTGCCATTACAAGAAAGTGGTCACTGTCAATGTTTGGGCCTCGGTAGCTTCTGACGTCTATGAGATCGGAAGAGTGCCTTGCATCTATCAGGATGTGATCTATCTGGTTAATGGTTTCGTTATCAGGGGATTTCCATGTTCCTTTGTGTATCATTTTATGGGGAAATCTTGTTCCTCCTACTATCATGTTTTTAGTACTTGCAAAGTTTATTAGTCTCAACCCGTTATCATTTGACTCTTCATGTAAGCTCTCACGTCCTATAGTTGGCTGGAAAAATTGCTCTTTGCCAATTTTTGCATTAAGGTCCCCAGCAATGATTTTCACGTCATGACGTGGACATCGATCATATTCTTTGTCTAAGGTGTCATAGAATTCATCTTTTTCATTATCCTCCTTTTCTTCCGTAGGTGCGTGTACACTAAGTAAGCTATAATTAAAGAATTTTCCTTTAAGACGTAGATAACATATTCTGTTGTTTATGGGTTTAAAGTTAAGGACTAATTGCTTTGCTTTTTTACTGACTAGAAAACCACTGCCAAACTCGTGTCGGCTGCTATGTCCGCTATAGTATATATTGTAGTCTCTTTTCTCGATGATTCCTGAACCAGTCCATCTCATCTCTTGAATCGCTACTACTAAGAGCACCTGGGGCATAAAGGGTTCGTACATTCCATGTGCATATCCGTAAATCGTTATTCCATTGTCGTTTGCTAGGTCGTCGTGAATTAAACAGTCCGGCTTTTCCACTTTGTGCTTTCATAACAATGAGTTTTTTTAAGGGAAGAGGTCGTTAACCTTTTGCCCAACCCCCTAATCTTCGAAGGACCATTTCTCCCACTCTCGTTTGCCCTGACTCTGCTTCCCACTGGGGTTGGTTACCACAATCTTCCACAGAGTTGCTCAGGTTACCAGGGTTCACCGCGTGGAGGTGAGAGTTGGAATTGAGTAGGAGAGGCTAGTGACGCTAACAGGACTTTAATGTTTGTATAAATTAAAAAAAACTCTGAATGTGGTTTTTACTGTAACTTTTATTGTATTTATTAAATGTATTTTGTAACACCTCAACATATGCATTTGCCATTGTTTGACATCTATATATGACTTTACAATCATTAGAACTGAAGAAGTGCAGAAATACTGCACGAAACGATTTCTATTAAAATATTGAAATAGTTTTTTCATTTTTTATTTCTCCTTGACCGATATCCTCATTTACAGTGAGATTTTAATCTCACTCACATTCTGTATTTAAATTTAGACAGTCGTACTCCTTTCAATATATGTATATATATGTATATACATTTATCTATATTTTATCTATCTATATACCTAATTCTGTTTTAGAAATGGCGCTTTCGTTTGTTGGAGAGTATTCTAAAGATGAAGATAATTTTAATGTGGAGACTTTATTGAGTCATATATATTATACAAGAGTTTACGATTTGGATCAATTGGTGGCTTGTCTTTTTGAAACGGAGTTAATAATTAAGCGAAATAATGTTAGTATCTATAGACAATTTTTATTTATTTAAATATAATTATATTTTTTTACCGGACTTTTTATTATTTTTGTTTTTCAATAAAAGCAGTAATTTTTGAACACTGCAATGCAGTGCAGCAAATATGTAGTAAGGAATAGTATGGGATATTAACATTTGCTTTACATTTTTCAAGTTTAAAACTGTTAAATAGTTTAAAGTACTAACAATGTGACGTAGAAAAAGTTTTATAAATGGTGAAACTATTTTAAAGTTAAACTATCTTGTTATCAATTGTGTATTGTGTCCATTATTTTCTTTTTTTTTCAGGTACGTTTACTGATCCTTGACAGCATAACAATACCGTTAAGATCATTGCAATCTTCAGAAAAGTTTAAAACTGTTAGTGCCGTTATGCGGATATTAAGAAACCTTGCTGATAAGTATAATATTATAGTAAGTATTTAGAGCATTTGAATGTACTACCAAATATCCTATTTAGCTAAAAGCCTAAGTCCATCTCTATTTAACTATACAGAAATATCGTGAAATACATTCACTGTTATTATGATCAGAAGTATGTCTAGAAGAGTGTTTTTAAGAAGCACTTCGCCGCAGATAAGTATCATAAGATTTACGCCAATCTAGTAAATGAAAATATTTATTTTCATTTATAAATTAATTACTCTTTGTTTCAGCTACAGTTGTTTTATTTATTAAAATTTGTTTAAATGTCAAAATATGGGTCGGATTGGTTTAATATTTTTTGCGAAATTTAATTTGTTTTTCAGATTTTTCCAAAAAATATATATTAGCTATGTATTTTTTAAATAGTTGGTTGGACTTTGGCAACATAAAAATATCATTCAGACATGCAACGAATTTTAAAAGAAATAATGTATAGCAAATTTGTACAGTTTTTTTGGAATACATTAGCTTTTTTATTTTTTGTATATATAAGTATTTGCTAGATTTTAATCCTTATATGTCAATTTGAGCATATATTGTTTGTATCTGGTAGTTAATTAGACTGTTAAATATATTATTAACTCTTATATTATAATTTTAGGTAGTCGTCACAAATTTTTGTACAACTAGGATCAATGAAAATGAAGCATACACCGTAGCATCTTTAGGAGATAGTTTTTACCACATGGTTAATTCTAGGATAAGTTTTACAAAGACTGAAACATTTTTCAAAGCTAAATTATTAAAACATGTGATGTACGAAGAGAAAGAAGTTATCTTTTAATATTTTAATAAAGAAATTAACAAAATAAATCGTTTATATGAACTAACTAACCCATATAAAATATTGTCAGCTTATTTCCACACAAACTTTTAATCGATGCGATGTGCGTAACCACATATGCTTGGGTTTAAATATTTATATTGAGTTTGTTTGCCAAGTTCGTAACCTGTAAAACTAATGAGTTCGTTAATACAGTTTTAAATTTTTAAACGGACCTGATTGCTTGTCAGGAATCGTGCAAAAATCGAATTCTTTGAATTAAAGATTGAAACTATGGTTCTGTTTTAATGGCATATCACTTTATGGCAAACACAAAATAACACGTTAACACATATGTATGTATTAGTGATTTGGCCCGTTACCATGCGACGGGGGATCCAATCAATTGCCATTTACAGTCATTCCACTCTATTTTGTCTCTGTTCCTCCTATCTTCCATAACAAATAAGTCACTTTTGGAGAATTGCTAAACTTTTGCGTCAAGTCGTCTTATGAAATCGATCTACCTATAAAAACAAGTTTGGCAATTAATTTGTTGGGAAAGTTCGAGTTTTGTATTATATTTTTTACCGATCACCAATCAGGTGATCAACAGGAGGATAGACATTTATTCATAAAATGAAATGTACCTTTCTTTTCACTGTCATTTTCTGTAAGATAAATGTAAAATTTATTTCGAACACACCAATATTTAATTAATTGTCAAAGAAATCCCACTAATGTTTTATATCTCTTGATTATACAATTTGTGGTGACAGGAATAAATTAAATTATGTAGAGAAAAATTTAATAATGAATATAAAAACAATACATTTTTAATGATTTTTTTGAGTTTTCTCAATAACACTAATATATAGTTATACTTCAAGTTAGAAATCATTGTCTCAGACTTCAGAAAGCTTCAATCTGTCTTTAATTTGCAGCCAATTCTTCAACAATTGGGTAAAATAGTACCAGAACCTTCTCTTCCATACATAAAAGTTCCTAAAAAAGACTCCTTAAAAATGGCTTCACTGTATCATCAGAATCTCTAAGTAACAATTCATTTTTATTATCTCCATTTAAACTTGTTATCAAGAATACGGAATTATTTATACCTATCTGGTAGGTACTGGCGAAAAACATCTCAACTAACGGCATGCAAATTGAACAGGTGTATAGCTATAAACATCTGGGCCACAAGATTAAATTAGGAAGAGATAATCAAACAATAATGGAGCTAAACAGGAGAATAGGATTGGCATGGGCGGCTTACGAAAAACTGAGAGAAGTCTTTAGATCAGATATTCCCATGTGCTTGAAAAGAAAGGTCTTTGATCAATGTGTACTCCCAGTTCTAACGTATGGAGCGGAAACATTGACCCTTACCAGAAAAGTAATCAATAAAATAAAAGTGGCACAGAGAGCGATGGGGAGGTCAATGCTGAATATATCCCTCAGAGACAGAGTATCAAATACAATAGTTAGGAGAAAAACTGGTGTTACTGACGCAGTTCAAAGGATTATAACATTGAAATTGATTGCTAGATTAAAAGATGGAAGGTGGACGAAGAAAATTCTGGAATGGAGACCTAGACACGATGCTTATCGTAATCGAGGACGTCCTCCAACAAGGTGGTCAGATGACATCAAACGCATTCAGCACAACTGAATTTAGGGTGCTCAAGATAAAATGCATTGGAATTATTTACGGGAGGCCTATGTCCAGCAGTGGACTCAAAACGGCTGATGATGATGATCTGGTAGGTACTTAGAGAAACATATCCAAGAAGTATCACGAAATTCTCAATTTAAAATCAATATTCCATAGTGGCTTCAAGATAGAAGATTTATTAAAAGTTTTGAAAATGTCGTACTATGCTCTGGATATTTTGTATACTTACTCTGAGTCTTTTTTTATATATAATTTAATGTATTTTATAGTTATTAAAAGAATCTGACAAACTAGGTACTGTGTGCACATTTTTCATTTTGTAATTCTATTTTATTATTTAATCAATAGCACCAATATCTCTTGAAAAAAGTTAATTAATCCATTTTTTAATCATCAAGATTATGAAAACTTTGAATGCCTAAACTAAGTAAAGAAAAGGAGATATACACTTACTTTTGTAATCTTTTATTAACAACTATTTACAAAATTTTCTCAAATATATATCTAATTCTTAAAAAGTCTTTATCGTTACAAAAATTAAAATGTTCAATTTTGCTTCAAATATTATATTCTATTTTATAAGTTTATAAATATTAAACATCATCTTTTTAGTCGTTACCTGATGCAGGTATCGTGATATCATGAAGCTGTTAGGTAATTTTTCCAATGTTCCTCCACGTTTTTCTATCTTCTGCCAATCTAGCACATTCTGACAATGGAGCGCCAATGGTAGCAACAATATGGTCCGTGTATCGTGTAGGAGATCTACCTCTACTTCTTTTGCCTTCTACTTTTCCCTGGATGGTAAGTTTTTCAAGACCATTTCTTCGAAGCACATGTCCAAAATAGCTTATTATCTGTTCTGTTATTTGTGTTCTTAGTCTTTTCTTTATGTTTAGCTGGACCAGTATGGATTCATTTGTTCTTCGGGCCACCCATGGTATTCTCAGCATTCGTCTCCAGCAGTACATCTCAAATACATCTATGTTCTTTTGTCTTTCTCAGTAAGGGTCCAGCATTCCGATGCATAAGTAAAAACTGGAAAAACTAGACTTCTTACTAGTCTCATTTTTGTATCGGTAGTAATTTCATGGCTTTTCCAAATTTTTGTTAATTTTGCCATAGCGCTTTTTGCGATTGCTGACCGCCGCTTTATTTCTTCAGTACAGCCTCCTTTGTTGGTTATTAATGAGTCAGATACACAAATTTATCTACAACAGCGATATTGTTTATCCTAACCAGATGATTTTGATTGTTGTTAGCTCTGTCAATTATCATGATTCTCGTTTTATCCCTGTTTATTTTAAGGCCCATCGTTAAGCTTACGTCTTCTATCCGTTGTAGCAGGTGAATCAATTCAGTTTCAGAACTAGCGAGGATAGTAGTATCATCTGCATATCTCAAGTTGCAAATCTTCTTCCCGCCAATGGTGATGCCACCGTTCCAGTCCTCAGTAGCTTTCCGCATTATCCATTCACCATAGATGTTAAATAAAATTGGGCTTAGTATGCAGCCTTGTCTCACGCCCTTTGTGACCCTGAAACTGTCAGTTAGTTCCCCATTTATTCTAACTCTGGCATAATTGTCATTGTACAGGCTTTTAATTAGCAGTATCAGATGATTAGGGACTCCCATTTCAGACAAAACCTGCCACATTTTACTCCAGTTGACCAAATCGAAAGCTTTATTATAATCTATGAAGCACAAATAGGTTGTGATGTTGAATTCTCTGGATTTTTCTACAATCTGCCGTACGTTTAATACTGATTAAACATCATACTGACAACAATATTTAGGTTGTATTTAGTTATTTCGCAATAACCTACAACATAATAACAAACTACAATGAACAATTTATTTTCCAAATCTTTTTATTCGGTACTTTATTTGGCAAATAAATATTTTACATTTTATCTGTCAGATAAGCTTATTTTATCGGTCAGTTGGTAGTTCAGATTTCTTTCAGTAATGGCGTTAGGTGTTTAAATCTAAACCAACATAAAGCTTTCAATTTTTTTTTGATCGAATAAAAGGTAGATATCGAGCACAGTTTTATTAATTAAATCTTGCCCAAGCACTTTCGCTTCCTAGAGTATCTTCAAGGGCATTTCGTCAATTGTGGCCTATCCTGACATTTTATTCTTGTTGAATAGGCCACAATTGACGAAATGCCACTCTAGGCATTTCTTGTTTCTAGTCTTTGTGTCTAGCATAGACACAAAGATGCTCTAGGAAGTGTAATACTCACACTTCTGGCTGTCACCAGATGTAATACAGGAGGCGACTCCACTGTCACCACTGAAATACTTTATGGATCCTCAAAGGATGCTAACCCTACGAGCGGCTGATAGGCTTACTGGCCCCACTGGTCCGACTGACTGGTTCGTCTTCGTGGATTTACGAGAAGATAAGGGATTTTCGGGATAGGGGTAAGGACTCCTAGGTCTCAGGTCCTGTAAAGAGCAGAGGTTATGGGCTTACTTTTGAAGCCGGAGATATGCATAAGCAGAATCTTGTACTCTCCTAGTCTCTATCTGAGTCGGACGAAAGGAACATTAAAAACCAATTTAGAGTCTACAATATATTGAATTTACCCTGAAGTTACAAATACAATCGTTAATAAGTCATTCGGCGCGTCGGGAGACGAGAAGCAAGAGAGTGAAGAGTTGACAGTTGTACTATTATAATTACTCAGGTTAGTATATAGAAATCTGTTACCTTATGTGTATTTAGACTTTCAACAACGACACGTCTTCGGTCCTCTGGAGCTCGGTCAGTTGAGGGGACTCCTCCGGTGTTACGAACTTACGAGTTACCACCAATAACCTGACTACACGAGATACTATGTCGGGTGTTAAGCACTCCCCGGAGACATACCGACTGCCTATTACTGATCGCGTACTGGACGCTATCGCGTCCGACCCGGAGTCGGCGATCACTGCCTGAGCGGCCAGTCACGGTGCCCGCTATTACTGACTGACTCGCTATTACTGACTGCCTGGCTACCGTCGTTTTTTCTTGTTTTATTGTGCTCGTACTTTCAACGCCGGTTCTAGTACCAAGGTCGTGTTTTCGCTGAGTTGTAGTCCTAGGCGTTATTTGGGTCACGAGTATTGTTATTTTTACAACAATAGTTTCTGTTTGACGTGCTTTTTCTACGTTTAAACAATTAACAAACAATGCACTAACTAGGTCAATTTCTTTGTGTAACCTAAATGTATACTTTCTGTATTAATTCTCCCTTATTAAATTTGGAATATATAATAATTATATCGAATAATTATTATCTTTTCCATGCTACTTAGCCCTTTAGTATATAGAATTTAAATTTATCTTCTGCCAAAATGGCATA